ACTAAGAACCCAATTTTATCTTTGTTTAAATTTGGGGGCCACTTCTTGTGCCAGTAAACAGGCCACTTGAAAAAAGCTGTACCGGTTCTGAAGTTAGAAATAAACCACAAGCTACAAACGTGTACAGCTGACGATCAAATATTAGTCAGGGTGTATGTACATTTTTGAGCCTTTATCTACAATTTTGTCCATGTAGTAACAAGAGAAAATCCAGAATAATTCATGAAATCACAAGTTGTCTGTCATCTAAATATGGAACAATGAAAAACAAAAGCTATATCAGAATCAAGCATTATCATGACTCCGCATAAATTCAGACCACAACTGAAAATAAGTCACGATTGCCAAATTTGCACTGGTGATACTTAAGTTTCGGTTTCAGCTTACTCTTAAAAATGGCTTTTTAATGGGGTTATAAAGTGTTAACATGTCTATTTTAACTGTGTGTGTGTGTGTATCTCAAATATGCTATGAACTGGTTAATTTTGTGATTTTTTTTTTTAAAGCATGTGGACATCAACGGTGAGGCGCGATGATCTGTACCTCCAGCTACTAAACCAGACTCTCCCAGCTGGATTGCCACTCCAAATCCTCCCAGCTTCACTGGAGCAGAGTTCTCTTTTGAAGCCAAAAGCACACAATGAGGCTGCAGAGGCAGAAAAGAAACACATCAAAGGGAATGAAAATGAAGACAAGTCAAAACTGCAGCGAGGCTAAATAAGACCATGGATTAATAAAAACCAAAAAAAAAAAAAAAAAAAAACCTGAAAGTAGCAAACCAAAATTTTTTTACTAGCTCACTGCAACCTGCAGAGCATTGCATTTCTGGCTCTGTCAGAAGTGCATTTCTTACGTGATCAAATGCTTTGCACCTTAGTTTCACAATGACAAAATGAGGCGTGTGCATAGACATAATGCTACCATGTTGCCCTTTTAAACCAGATGATGCACCATGTTGATGTCAAGATGCGATCAAATGGATCTCCAATAATGTCGGGTTGTGACGCGTTTTAGCCCACAAGGTCTGGATCAAACTCTATGAACTGCAAGGGGCTTATTACAATTTCAACAGTGAGATTTTGTTCAAAATTCAAATTACAAACAGAACAAACATACCCAGGTATCAATGTGTCAAACTGACTATAATAGTTAGGGCTACAAGTTCCCAAGGTGATGTAAATGGTGACTTTGTAGAAGCAGAAGTTCCCATCACACTTCAGTTTTAAAAAATGGCTACATCTGCACTCAAATGTTACAAAACACCTGAAGTGCGACAGTGTTAATTCTTATATTTAGTTCGCTCCGTCAGAAATTCATACGCTCCGTTTTAGCCAGTCAAAATTAGTTGTGTGTGTTGTGTACAAATGTTCCTGTGAGTCGGTACAGTGTTTAAATGTGTTAAACTCTCGTCTCGACTCACTGCTTTTATCATCATGACAAAATAAAAATTGTTTCCCAGGAGGTACTTGGCTCATCGTCATGGGCAACCACAAATGTCAGACGTCGTAAATGGTGTTTTGGAGTTGATGTTTCCTTTTAATCAGAATCCTGACTTTGGTATTTCAGCGGTTTACTGTTAACTTCATCCTTGGTGGTTTTTGGAGAACTTTTTTAATGAACACAAAAATACATCAAAACTAGTTTTAGAATGGTTAAAAAATGGGCAAAAGTAAGATTCTTTAATGGTGTTCCAAGTCTTACCTCTATTGTTTATGCATATATAGTGTTAAAAGCTGGGTCGATCACAACTACTCAACCAATTTCTGCTATGCAAAGTGGTCAAATATCCAGTAAAACTATGCCAAAATCTTGGTGACATTTACAAAAATCATTTAGCAAAATATCTGTAGGGGTCTGCATTTACAATTTTGACCCTGTGTGGATTAGGATGCACAATAAATTCACCATGAGAGCAAGTACTAGTAGTATTTAGACACTGAAATATTAGTTTTGCCTTGTAACATTATTATATGCATGAAATTACTCCCTTCTAACCTCTGGCACATGGAAAGCAAAGTTCCTAATCTCACTAGAAACAAGCACCCTAAAGAAAATGCAGAAAAAGCATCGCAAGGAAGCAATTGAATTATATACGATTCCTAAATATGCTTAAGACTGCAAAGTGTGAATTCACCCGCTTCCCTATATTTTAAATGTTCATTTTATAAAACTTCTTTGAAAACTGCACTGTTGATTTTTTTTAGCCTGCAGCTGCAACCAGATAATATAAGAGAGTCCCAGTTCATACAATTGATAGTATTGAAATGAAATGCATAGAAAAAGCATCATATGAAAGAGAACCCAGAGACAGAGTAGTGGTGGGTTTTACTTCCTGTACGTAATGTATCTTTTGGCAGCACACGGGGCGGGGGGGAAGTAAGGTTTGTGGACAATGCTGAGAGATTTTGCAAGATAAAGAAAAGCAGAAAGAGCAAAAGAGGAAAAGAGAGGCAGCGACGAGAGGACTGACAGATGCACAGTCAGATCGGTGATAGGGCGAAGGGAAAGCAACAAATATGCTGCTGCAGTGACTCATTTAAAGACTGGAGCTAAAGGCGAGGACAGTGAGAACTCGGCAGCAGTTTCTATTGGGTTTGCGTGCAGAGTCTGTACTGGTGGAGGGATATTTTTTTGTTGTTGTTGCATTTTTTTTTTTAAAACTAATGGAGGAAAATGTCCGAGGGACCTCTTCAGCTGCACATCTAAAATATGTCCTGTGGCACCCGAAAACCACAGCTGAGCTAAGCTTTGCTTGAGAGGAGGATTAATGGTGAGTGTTTGGCTTCTCTTTAAGTCTAGTGTCAAATTAACAACCATTTCTCATTTGCACACTTTCAAATGAGTCTCAGATAAAACTCCAGATTTAAGAAGACTAACTCAAACTGAGTGACTTGGAGGTCGAAGTTTGCAGGGTGCTGTCCCTTTTTAATGTCAGAAATGGTTATACTTGTCATGAGAGAATTAGAGTGAACTTTGGAAATCCAGCTGACATATTACTCATCTGTCTGCACACTGGTTTCATAGCGTCATAAGTCTGTAGCAGTTTTTTTTTTTTCCTGTACAAGTAAAAATGTTTTTCTTTGCAGAATGTGTTGCTGAACATCACTGAATTCAACAGAATTGACGCACCATGACCCCACTACTGTTCGCTACGGGTTCTGCAACTCCAAACGCTTCCTTTTCTACTGCATCTCCATCAGCATCGTCCTTCATGTCAAGGACTCCGTATTCTTCCCACAATGCGACAAGTTCATCACACTGTACGTTTGGCAGCGCCTCACTCCATCTGCCGCTGGCGGCTTTCTACTCGCTGTTCTTTGTCCTGGGTCTTGTGGGGAACCTGTTCGCTCTGTGGGTGTTCCTCTTTCTCCATTCCAAGCACAACTCGGTGCGTGTGTTCCTCATGAACTGTGCTGTGGCCGACCTGGTCCTCCTGGCGTGCCTGCCATTCAGGGTGTTCTATCACCTCAACGGAGACAGCTGGGTGCTGGGGCCGGTGGCCTGCAGGCTGGTGGGGAACGGCTTCTACATGAACATGTACATAAGCATTCTGCTGCTGGGACTCATCAGCCTGGACCGGTACGTGAGGCTGCGAGGGAGAGGCAGGGCCAAGAAGAGCTTGTGGGGGAGGCTGTGTGGGCATAAGCAGCTCTGGAGCTGGGTGGTGTGTGGCACCATATGGAGCCTCTTTTTGATGGGGACGATGCTGATGGCCGTGACGAAGGAGGACAGAGACTTCAACGGAAAATGCTTTGAGTACAGGGAACGCCGCAATGTCGCCTGGAAGGCTTACCTCAATGCGATGTTAGTGGTGCTGTTCTGGCTGGTCTTCATCATGATGGTCATCTCCCATGCCAAAATTGCCTCAAAGTTGCTTCTACTGTCGCAGAAGAAGCCAGAGCTTCCTAACGCATCCAAGTACAGAAGAACCGCCAAGAAGTCCTTCTTCGTCCTCTTTCTGTTCACCGTCTGCTTTGCGCCCTACCACATCTTCCGTCCGGTGTACATCCAGTCCCAAACACACTCCAATGGATCCTGCAGCTACCTGGCGATGGTGTACCGTACCAACGAGATCATGCTCCTGTTGTCCACCTTTAACAGCTGCTTGGATCCGGTCATGTACTTTCTGTTGTCAGGCTCGGTGCGCAAAACCGCTCTGCGGGTTCTTGGACACCGGTTCTGCAGCCGATGTCAATACCTTGAAGATGTTACACTGAACAGCTCTACCATAGATTACAGACGAGGGTCCACACCGCTGGCTATACCCGGACAAGTCCTCACCAACCCTTCACTCACACCTAGAACCAGCTTCTGTGTCATTAACTCCAATCTCCGTCGCACAGAAGCAACAACTACACTTCCTCCCGCTAGTCTTCAGTGATTGCAAGCTGCTCAAGATTGTCAGAACACTGAATGCAGAATGCCAAGCCACATTGAAGCTGAGAAAGAACTGTTTTTGGTTTTGTTTTTTTTAATGTCTTGTTTTCTTTCTTTTGGCTATGTAACTGTTAGCTCATTTATACTTGGTCCTGTTGAAAGCTTTTACCCAAGAATGTATGAGGTGGTGTTTTTGTTGTTTCTTTGCATTTTTTAAGATAAGGTGCCTCCCACTTTTTTTTCACTATTTAAAATGGAAAAATATGACTATGATTTAAAAAAACAAAAACAAAAAACAAAAAAAAAAAAACTTATTCCCTTATAAAAATAAAACTTCAACTGGGATAAAAAACGAGCCTCGTAAAAGTATTCACAAGTTCCAGTGTTATTTGTAGGGCTGAGTGATGTGGTTTAAAAATAAAATGTCAAAGCTTTGTAATACCAAATTTGATTTCCAATTCTCACTTTTTCCCCCCCCCATAAAACAATTTTAAATGAACATATTTTTTAAAAACTTGCTTTTATCTCAGCCTATGAGTTTAATAGAATTCAAAGAGAAAACAAAGAGAAGGGTTAGGGTTTGAATTATTTGCAAATACTTCAAACTTTAAAACAGCTTTACCCCCCAAAAAACTCAATGGCAACCTACCATATAGAGCAGATATCAGTCACTGGTGTATTTTATTTCACCTAAGAATGTGTTGATCACCGTCAGGTCAAAGTTGGCAGCAGTCATTTGATTTTACCCGGAGGATTGTTTGCAGTTTTAGCACCTTATTCCCCTCATTTGGATTTACCTGGTGACTCAATCTCACCTTTACATCTCGATGAATCACATTGTTGTCATGGCAGTACCTCAGGGCCTCCAGTATTTGCCTCATGTAGTGGCTGCATGGAGAAAAAAAAAGCAGAAAGACAAGCAGGAAGGACTTATTTAGGGCACCCACACACTTTATTTTAAGTGCAATCATTTCTTGTGTCCTACCTGGCCACAGCTTCGCTGTAGACAAACCCTGCGTCGGCCCTCTTAACAATTTCAAAACACAGGTCAGCGCCATCCATGCTGGGAGAGAAAGGAAACATTCATCAGTGCGATAAGAGAAGATAAAAATAAGCGTTCCAGTGCAAGGTTTCCGCAATGTTCATCATTTACACCTAACAACTTCCACGACCTTTTTAAAGTTGGAAAACTTAGGAATATTTTAATTTGATTGCCTGAACAAAATACTAGAATTAGACACCTTTCAGGGGTTTACTGAATGTTAAAATTTGTAATCATTTTTTTATATCGCTTAATTTTTCAGAAAATTAAATTATTGCTGCCAAAAACTGGACAGCAGCTCAAATTTAGATACAGAAATAGTTAATTCAGTCCTTATAGACAGATTGAAATTCAATCCCAATTGCAATACAATCTAGTCCAAGTTAGTATATTATGCCAACTGGTTAAAAAAGCTCTATTAAGAAACCAAATGTTAGGCTTTCTGCTGTAATAAAACCTCGTCAATCAAGTTTGAATCAAGTTAATTTAGTGACAGAAACTCTTATCTGAATCTTGAGTTGTGCAAGTGTGTTAAATGTTTTGTTCTTGTGATTTGCTAAGCTTGCCACCAGCTCTATAAGTGACACAATGTGCAACTTGTACAGGGAAATGACTAACACCATTTATTTATATACAGTTATCAGAATTAGTATGGCTTGTGGCTTTTTATTGGTGCATTTCTCAGCAAAATATTCATGACTCATACATGTACAGTACAATCTCACTAACCACAACTCATATAAGATACGGATCTATTAGGGTTTTTGAAAAAAGCTGTCCACTGCGTTGTCAGAGTTTATGTTAAAGTGAACCCTTACAATTCAAAGACCATGTAGAGCATGCCGTCAGAGCTGTAGGTCTCCAGAAGCTCCACGATGTGGGGGTGCTTGAGCATATGGCAGATGCTGGCCTCTCGCTTCAGATCTGGGAGAGAGAAATTAAAGATTAAAGTTCACTTCAATTGTTAGTCTTATTATAAAAGCTGAGATTAAAGGCTGGAAAGATGTAAAATAAAAGTTCTGCTTTCATAAAATAGTCCATCTCAACAGATCTGCCACTGCCCTAAGTCACCACCAGAGGGCGATAAATGACATTTCATTGAGTGAAGTGGTTGTGACAGATTGAAACTGCAATAACAATTTGACAATGTGCTCCTGTTGAGTCCATAAAACCCCCCCATTTACACACTCCACTTCCTGGCTGTTTGTGTCGTGACGGAGCAGCGACGTTATGCAACAGACAGAGAAACTGTGTTCCCCCACCCCACAACTACAGAGCCCCTTTTCTTCCATTATTCCCTCCCCTCCTCTCTACGCTCATCCTTAGCCGTCTCATTGATTATTCGTTGTCGAGAGCGACAATGCGGCCTAATGTCCGCGCGGGGCCTGGAGTGCTCTGAAAGGAACCGATGTCGTCCTCTGGCCCTGTTCCAAATCTTCCACGGATGGTTCGGCCAGACTGTGTTACATAATGTTCGCTTTGAACTTTATTTTGACACAGCTGACAATCTGGCCGTTTCATCTGCTGATATGAGGAATAAAGCAATTATAGATTTACAGTAAAAGCTTCAATCATGGCCTTTAATGGATGTTTCATACATAGGACTACAGGAAGGATTCGCTGCTTTACTGAATGATGACCAAACCGCCCAGTCAGCCAATTGCAGCAGGTGAATATGGCAAACCGGTTTAACATTTAATCACATAAACGCCACCAATCTCCAAATCCCGTTTGAATTAGGGCTGCAAACAACAACTATTTTAGTATTCATAAAAGCCACATTCTGCTGATTTTTAACATAAATCACTTAAGCCTCTTTTTATTCAGTATCAGAAACACATGAAACATATCTACAGGAAAATATTTGTTTTAATAGGAAATGAAAAATGTATATATTTTGGTACAGTTTAGGCTTAATTACCGATTTGAGTATGTTGTTCTTCCAGCAAATGGCCTTTTCTGAGTTTGTATACTCCAGTTAATGATTAATCGATTACTAAATTTGAGTTAGATTAAAAAAGACAGATAGGGAGGGACTACAATGTCCTTCTATATTTATACAGACCCAGAGAGAGCATTTTAAAGCTTTTAGATCCCACACACACACATCTTTAATTTATACATATTGGAGATGTTAGCTTCTCTTTGTGGTTTGTGGGCCAGATTGTTTCTTTCCCACTGGAAGCAAACCGCTTCCGGATTCAACCCTAAATAAACTAAGAGCTATATTTTCAACCGGATCACAATTTTCCTCTGCTGGTCTACAACCAGAGTTCAGTCGAGCTTTCACACCTGCCTGAATTAAACAAACTACCTGATGAAATAATCTTTGGTCTGTTGAAAGCAGATCAAACAGCTTGGACACCACATCTGAACCCAAAAGGAGAGAGAACTGAAGCAAAAAGAAAAAAACATCTCAACCTTTAAGAATTTTTACGTCTACATCTATCAAATTAATCAGAGACAGAAAACATCCAACTAATCAAACATTCGAGTGAATCAAATATGGCTGAAGTTGGTAAAATAACCAGTATTTTAGGGGGGAAATTGCAGGTGAATTCATTCATCGTGAACCTTTTCCACGTCAGCTCCCTTAGTTCATTTCCTTGTCTTGCTGTTACTGGCTGCAGGGCTCGTCTCTGGCTGGGGCGTCGCAGATGGCACATGATGGATGCCAACGCTGCCACCAACATGCACACACGCACCTCTGATCTCAGCTTTAATCTCCCTCGTTGACAAACCTGCGCAGTGAAACGCGTTGCGTCGCACAAAAGCGAACGTTTCGACATAAACCTCATCTGTGGGACGTTCTGCTTGATTTATTTCTGTGAAAATACGATTATACGCTCTCTGTGGGTCGTTGTGTTTGATATCAGAGCCAAGGAGTATTTGTGGATTGCTCCCAACTGTTGTTTTAGCCCACAAGGAGAGGCAGGTGGGTGAGTTTACGCAACAGCGCAGGGAATAATTTACAATTGTTCTTTGTTAAATCATTCCAGAGAGTCCGTTTGAAGTTTTCCTTTCTGATTGGAAATATTCCTTAAACCTGAGTGACCGTGGAGTCGTTCCCGCTGGATTTCTCACCTTCCGTGCTGAGGCCGGGGCTAGAGGTGAAGCTGGCCACATCCACGATCTTCACGGCGAACTGCTGGCCCGTGTCCCTGTTGATGCAGCGCCTCACCACGCTGAAGGGACCCCTGCAACACAAACGGCCCAAATTAGTCAAAGTCACACATGGTAGGGTGTAGCTATCCCACGTAAAAACACAGAGACACACACACCGGCGGGTTGTGTCTGAGAACATTCCGGGTCGTTCGCAGCGCGGTTAGCTACGCTACGTAGCCTCCAGCGCTTGTGCCAGTGGGAATTATAGTGCAGAGCAGCTGTAAAGTCTAAAATAAATGCTTTATTACAGAGACCGGCGCAAGTAAGACTTTTCCCACATAATCTTTTTCCAAGGCAGAAGACACTGCAACGTGGGTTTCAAGCATTCAGATGCTTTTCCTTCGGGAAGTCGATAGGAAGATGGATGGAGAGTAATCCTGGCACAAAACCAAGCAGGAATCTCCTGCTAAACTCATAATTAATCATCCAGATCAGCTTCGTTACCAGTTGAAATGGCAATACTTCCCCAAAAGATTCATCAAGGAAATTACTGAGCATTTGAGATCCATTCAAGTTCTAATTTCAACCACAACGTTTATCAGATCTGTGGTATCTTACAATGGCAGATTGTAGGAGACAAAAACAAAACAAAAAACACACATTACTACTGTGTATAAACCTGTTCCAGTCATTATAATAAACACTTATCAATATTTTATATTTTATAAATATAAATGTGTTGTCATTCATCCTAAATATGAGTAAGAATCCTAAAGAGCATCCTATGATAGAAACTAAAGCTTGAGTTCTTCATCAAAATGTATGCATGGAAAGTTTAGTGGAAGGAAAAAGTGTGGAGTGCATCAGCAGCAGGGATAACCACAGCTTTACTTATTGCAACAGTATGTTGCAATAAGCAAATTAATTACATGATAAGTTAAAATGAGATCAATAATTTCCATTCTGATGGTTTATATATATTTTTAACAGAGACTTCATAATCTTTTGTTTTTGCTTGTCGTGTTTTATTTTAGGTATTTTAAATGTCTTCCAGTTCAAGTATGATGTGTTCTTTACAAAATTAAAGTTTGTTGGTCTTTGAGTGGGCAAACT